AAACTTCACGAGTGCACCCAGGAGACTATTTTGAATATTGGCACTGCATTTGATCAAAATCGGCTAAGCAATTTCAGAGTCTCCAAGGAATATACATATATACATACATACTTCCATATATATATATATATATATATACATGCCATGGAAGGAGGTAGGTAGGAGGGTAGAGATGAGAGGAAGTAGAGAAGAGAGAATAGATGAGAGAGAGAGAGATAGAGAGATAGAGAGAGAGAGAGAGAGAGAGAGAGAGAGAGAGAGAGAGAGAGATAGAGAGAGAGAGAGAGAGATAAGGAGATGAGAGAGAGAGAGATCGAGAGAGAGAGAGAGAGAGAGAGATAGAGATATATAGATATATGGTATATGTATATAGATATATATATATATATATTATATATATATATATATATATATATATATATATATGTATACATACATATAGATATATAGATAGATAGAAAGATAGATGTACTTCCTATTTCTAAATCACGCCACTAGCCCTTCTCCAGCGATAACAACAATTACGACCAGTCGGCTGGCAGGCTGTCTGGCTTGCTGGCAGTTTTTCAAACACCACATACACAGAAATATATGGGAGGGAGCGCTGTGACATAGCCAGGGACATGGCACGACTATATATACGAGTATGGGTGTTTATAATGCATATGCAGGGGGCGCTGTGTGCATAGTGGGCGTGTCAGATGGGGGCGTTAACAGCAACGGCGACGGCGACGTTGATGACGTGTGGTTGTCATTAGAGCTGCTGGACGAATGTTGATGACATTGTTGTTGCCGTTGTAGTAGCTGCTCCCCATGTTGTTGTTGTTATTTCTGTTCTTCCTGTTGTTTTGCAAGTTGTGCCAACAACACAAATGACGACCAACAAAATGGCGACCGCACTGACCAAAATGCTTGCTGCTCTCCCAAGGCACACACAAATGGGGAAAGTGCGGCAATGAGTTGTAGTTGTTGTTGTTGCTGTTTTTGCTGTAGTTGTTATTGTTGTTGTTGTTGTTGTTGTTATGAATGACCACCACCCGGTGCGCTTTATTAGGCGTTGATTTTGTGTCAACCCCAAGTGACTAAATATGTTAGCTATCTTTTGCTATTGTTGTTGCTACTTTTGTTGTTGTTGCCCCCCAACCACATGCTTTAATTTTAGGTTAGCATTGGAAATTATGCGCGCAGCCTTTCGCGAAATATGCAATTTCTCATATTTTCATAGCTTGCTGTTCAGCTCTGTAGCTTGTAGGTACATGGAGGCATGGTTGTCGTTATTGTTATTGTTGTTGCATGCCCGAAGTGGGCGTGTCAGAGCAATTTTCTATAGATGGAATGAGAAGTGCATTCTAACATATAGCATAGTAGTAATTTATTAGCTCTGGGGGAATGGCTGTTGAGTGAGCAGTGAACTAGAAAAAGGAAAAATAATTACTTATGAATCACAGCGACTCTCACGTAAAGTGCATTTCGAGAAGTTGCAATCTGCAATTCTGTAAGAAAGTGTGTGCAGGTGTTCTTAGGAGACTGCACTTAAAATATATTTTTGTTAAAAAAAAAGAAGCAAGACAATGAGTGTTCATTTGGCAGCAAAATCATAAAACTATCATTATACGATTAGTTCCTCAGCAGAGCTTTAAACTATTTTGCAAACATGTTTGCTTAAAAGAAATGCAGTGGAATGAAAAATGCGCCAGGTTTTCGTTACTGAGTTTGATCAAAATAATTACAAGTTGCAAATTCCCAAAAATAATTGGACCATTGCAGATTTTGGTGTCAAAATTGGTTAGAGATCCACTAAGGGCAGTAACTTCTTTCCAAGACACAATGAAAGTTAATCGGAATTGAAACCATTTACAAACAACGTACTTTAAATATCTGGGAGTATTGTTAAGCCCTTAAAGGAATTCCAAACTCAACGAGGAATTCGAAACTCAATTCCTGGCTCAACGAGCTGGCCGGACTCCCACAATGTGCGTTTGTTCCTGAGCAGGCATGCTCGCAGCATGATTGAAGGTTTATTAAGGCTATCATAAAGTTTAATAATTGTCCAACCCAGTACATTTCCTAAATAAAGATTGAAGATTTTAAAAAAAGTACTTTGCCTTAAAAATTCCTCCTTGAAATTTACAAATCTGCCACATTCTACTGCCAAAGTCATTTCAAATTACTGCTACTAGTAATTTACAATTCTAGGTAAGCTGTTTCGACAATTTTCTATTTCTGCCCTGCCTGCCTGCCTGCCTGTCTGCCTTCCAAATGACTTTACATTTGAGCCCAAAGCCCTTTCATCAGCTCACATTGCAAATCCTTGCAGCCTATTTCCGAGCTCTGTGGCATATGTGAAATAAAACGAGAGAGAGAAAAAAATCTGCATCAACATCCGTAATGACATTTTGATGACATATTCTTTTCTCTTTTTATTGTGTTTTCGTTTTTTGTTTGGTTTGTTGAGGCATTTTGCCAATGGAATAACAACAACAGCAACAACAACAACAACAATAGCAACAAAATGCATTTCTATGCAAATGACAATGCCGAACGAAATAGCTGATGTTTCCTGCATATTTTGCATACCTATTCGAAATCACATCGTAACTTGATTTCGATTCGTCCTGCAGAATACAAAATAAAAACAAAACAAATACAATGCATAGATATATAGTAGATAGAGTTGTATATGTATGTAGAAGACTGCTATCTAAATGTTACATAACATTATTATTTCATTTCTGGCCAAGTGTTGGCAAAGCCATCATCGACTCATTCAACCCTTTGACATCGATTCGGGATTAAGGGGGAGCCGAGCAACCCCTTTCGGTCTGCCTGACTAGCAAGCTCAATTAGCATTGCAATTACAGTTTGTGGGGCAGGGCGGCGAGTCCTCTTGCTCACAGAGTCTAAATAGATTGCCTAATTTCATTCAATTTCTGTCAAATGCAAAAGGCATCCGGAACAAACAAAATGCAAAGTCACAAACACCATTGAGAACACAACTCGGAGTCGACCCCTGCTGTGCAAACCCCACCTTTCAGCACCTCCCCCACCACCACTTGTCTAATGACTGATTTTCAAAGCTATTAAATGACAGCAGGCGAGCGACGAACGCTGGCGGCGGCGGCGTTGGCCAAAAATGTTTTATGCATTTTGTGGGCTGCAGTCGTTGGTAGAAAAGGGCGGAGGGGGGCGTTGGGCAAAAAGTGAGTTATCATCCAAGCACTTTTCTAATTACAATGGGGACGCGTTCGACTGAAATACTGGGGGAGCTTGGCTCGGCTTGGCTTGGCTGGCGGTATCGAGTGCTTGCCAGGCATTGCAACTGTTGTTGACGGCTTGCTGTTGACTGACTGTTGCATTTCAGTAGCCTTGAGCTGCAGCAGGGCTGAGCAGCAGTAGCAGCATTAGGCCAACGACGAAAACAGTAACAACATGGACGGAAACAACAACAACAGCAGACGGCAACAGACCAACAACAACATTAGCCAGTGGAAATTTCCCCAGTTGAGTCAAACATCAGCCAGCAGGCTGTTTTTGCCTACACTGAGAGCAATTTGTTATGCATTTTAAACCAGACTTTTCCCTATTCTTTCCACTACAAGCATAGTTGTGTGCACTGCACAGTGGCCGAAAAAGCAAAAGTTGGGGCATAAAACCAAAATGAAAATTTTTTAAATATAGCAAAAATATCTTAGTATTTTGATAGGATATAGAACAATGGGATAGGTTATTTATATTTGTTCACATGTATTGTTAAGGTGCTAGACCTGTATGCACGGATTCAATGTTTATATTAAACACAGAAGATGAAAAAAATAAAACCAAAAAGAAAAATTTTTAAATATAGAAAAAATATCTGAGTACTTTGATAGAATATAGACAAAGGGATAAAAATACAAATGTCAATATTTTTGTGCAACCCTGGTATTTTTGCGTAGCCCTTAAAGTCAAATGATTTCAAGCTTCATTAATTGGAAATTATTGTGTTGCTACTGAAATTGCTTTTTTCATTCAATTTTAAACCATTTGTCTTTGTTAATAAATGTTTCTTTACAATGAGAACTCCGATAAAGGTACGCTGATTTTTAAGTGTATTAAGATCAATGTTTGGGTTATGCATTGGCTTGTAACTAAGAAGCAATAGATGAGGCAAAGAAATTGAAGAAACTTCTCAGCTTTCGTTACATAATCCTGAAACTGCATTTGTTACGCTGAAATGTAAAGTTATAACAAAGGAACCTTTTGCTGTCCTGCAAGTTTAATTCAATTTGGGGAATTTTTTTCTAATTCACTTAATTTTTGAATGCTTTCAGTGTAGGGTTGTTGTTGTTGTTGTTGCTATTGCGACTGCTACTGCTATTGTTGATGCAACTTTAAATTGCTTTGCTAGCGTAGGTTTTTCTCCTGACAATGCAGATTGCTGGCATAGCTCTGGCACTAGTTCTCTGTCCTGCTGTGTATCCTGTGGGAAATGCGCCAACGCACTGATTGCACTTTGCTTCAAATTTCACAGAGCAGTGAGGATGACAAGAGCGATGACGATGACGCTGATGCTGACGATGAGGGGGCTGACTGCCTCCTGAACCTAAAATGTCTGCCTCTCAGTGCGTAATGCATTTTCATTGCCTTTTGGCCGTGAATCGCCAGGGAATGTAGATGAGTAACAGAGATATACGAGTTAGTGTGTGTGTGTGTGTGTCGTGATAAAGTGCAGACATTTGACAAATTAACTGCTCGCCACACCAGCCCTCCCCACCACTCACTCCCCAGTCAATCGTATGTTTGTCTGGCTGTCAATCGAGACTGCAATCGGCCTAAGCTGCTGATTGATTTATTAAGAGTCCGCATTGCGCAAACCGAGTGCCCGCCCAGGTGTTACGAGTAGTAGTATAGTAGACCTATCTTTAAGTATGAAGAGCAACACTTAACTAAATTAAAACCAATAATATGCATAGTTGTCGATGGTGGTAGTAAACGAAATAAAAAACATTATTTATTCTTACTTGATTCTGACTCAAAGCAACCGAAAGCACGTCATCACTTACCTGCAAATGAAGGAGAGAAAGAGAAGAGGTTAGAGGGAATGAGCAACTAAGTCCAGTAGCAGTAAATTATATTTAATTATATAACCGGCAATTGCGTTGTGGCATAAGCAAAAATATGTATATGTAGTGGCATGTGGCATGAGAAAATCGAAATAAAACAGTGCATAAAAGTGAGAAAAACAAATGTATGAAGAGTGCGAGCAGCTGCCACAAAGTGCCAAACAAAGCGTCTGGCATGTATTTTGATTTAATTTTGTCGCTGCTGTTCGACAACCGGAGGAGTATGTTAACAAAAAGAAGCACTTTGTTACCAAAGAGCACGCTGCCTTTTACAGAACCCTCTTAACATTAGAAAGCATATAATCATATATTTGATCCACAAAGGTACAAGTATAAGAACAGTATAAGATATGCCAAGTTGTGTGCCTCTAGCTGTTATAATGTAAAAGATAACGATGTACATACAGACAGACAAATGGGGGGTTTCACAAAGTCTATATCACTAAGCTTCATTATGCTGATCATATAAATACTTTCAAATACTTCCTATTGTTTATTAAAATTAAACATAAAGCATTTACATTTATGTCTGTTTATTAACTAAACAATGTCTTTTTGGCTTTCTACTGCATGCAAATCACTTATCGCATACCCTCCTGCTTCATTGGTACAGGCCATTAGAATGTCGTGGCAGCCGAGGACATGTGCTTCCTCTTTGTGACACGCCTCTTTTGTGTCGCTCTGGCGGCAGAGGAAATAATAATACAGAAATAGCAACAGCAGTAACAACAGAGTCGGGCACACAAAGAAAAATAATGTAACAGCGAGGAAAAAATAAAGAAATTGTAGCATAGCAGCAGGCGCTCAAATTGTATTTAGCCATAAAATGCACGCACACAATCACACGCACACGCACACCCACGCACACCCACGCACACATACCACCCGCCTGGCGAACTATTGAAATTGTTTTGTAAGCAAGAACAGCAGTTTAGGTGAAAGGAAAGGAAAGCAAGGAGGGGGCGGAGGAGGAGGAGGAGAACGTCGTGGGCGACACAAAACACTTGCTGCCACATAAGGTCATAATTTCGACACTAATACTAAGCCACAAAGCTGTTCCCCAAAATGAGGGCCGTCATTTAGGACTAGTGCGGCTCTACGACCTTGCCACTTACAACATAATGTCGAAAGCTGAAGTTGGCCCAAGCAGCGAGCAGCAATGAGTGGAAGAAAAGAAAGTCGTCGCACAAATTACAGCTGCAACTTTCGACACATGTCAAATGTGTGGTTAGTGGGCAACAAACACATACACACACCAACACCCATACATACGCATAAAACAGAGTCGCTTGATAAAGTAAGTGCGGACAGCGTCTGTTTTGGTCGAGTTAAAGGAATTGTGGGCAAAGAGTTAGGCGTGCAGTGCCTGCCAAATGTTTGCACACTTTGCACACCTGCGCTCACACAAACCCACACACACACACACACAAACACACGAATTTCAATAAAAAGCTTTGTCACTGTACGGACCACCGGAAGAAGTTGAGGATGAAAAGTGCCCTACACAGTGTAGCAAGAGTCGAGAACAAAATGCCTTGCAAGTCGTAACACGGCACGAACCTCAATAAAAATCAACAGTTTATGCGTCGCCTGTCCTTGAGTGGCACAGCAGCCGCCGGCCAGTAACAACAACAACAACACAACAACAGCATGCTCGACATGAGCAAAATGTCATTTCTGCAAACAGCAGGCCAACCCCCACAAATACAGTAAACACTCTGAAAACAAGCAATAACGCTGAATTCAAAACATTCTCAATACAATGCGATCTTCCAGAATCGCACTTCAAAATAAATATGTTGTTCATTTGATTTCCTTTACAGGTCTGAACACTATTTACCTGCCTTTGCTTTGTATAGGGCTTAACATTATTTGCAATTTTGTGCTTTTACTCTTGGCAGCCTTCACTGTACTTAGAGCCAAGGCTGCACTAAACTTTTAGCTCCACGCTTTTCTCACTCCCTCTCCCTCTTTCTTGTTATCCCAGTCCCGCTCTCTCTCTCTCTCTTTCTCTGTCTGTTGAATATCCCCTGCTGCCGCTCATGCTAAATGTATTGCCATCTATTTGCATTTTCTATTTATTTCTTTATCCTTTGGCAAGCTGGAGAATCGGCGGCACTTGTGTCAGCCGCCATTAGTGGCACGTTCCTGCTTTCAGAAAACGGTGCCCCACCCCCGCTCGCTTGTCTGTCTTCTTGTTTAGCTTGTTGTATCCAATGTCCTGTGTGTCCTGTATGTCCCGTGTCTCTTGTATATTCCACTTTGCCACTCATATTTTATTAAGTAGCAAAGTTGACAAGGGATTTGCTCGCTCTTGCTCTCGCCCTTCCTTCCAGCGGCCATTGCCGAAAAAAGGACACACAGCGCCTGTCATTTTCTAAAGTAAATATTGGTAATTTTTATTGAGGATTTTGGTTGATTTTATTTTGAGCATATGGATTATCCCAGCGCGCCCGAAACAAAAAGGGGGACGCTCAACTAAAAGACATCAAATAAGTTTGCTTTCGCCTGAGAATCGCAGCTGGACAGAGCTCACATAAAAGTTTCGGTTTTTGGGCAAAAAAGTTTCGTCGGCGTATTTATTTTGCACAAATTAAGGACATTTATTTTGAAACTTGAACTTGAACCCAAATCAGGCATACAAGCACTAAGCAAAAGTGATTGGAATGGTGGCAAAAATTACAACACCCAACAACAACAAAAAAAAGGAAGCAAAAAGAGAATGAAGTAAATATTAAAAAAGTTCTAGAGAAGTCGCCGTCGTTAGCGTCTAAGCCGACCCTTGGTTGCTAAACAAAATTATGGGCGCCAAAGTAAATTTGTTCGAAATGCAACAGACCGTAAGAGACAACATCACCGATAACAACCAACAAACAAGAACAACAACAGCAACAACAACTGTATTGCCCACGGCTGTGTGCGTTTACAGCTGTTGCTAACAAGAATTACTCGCACCAGCTTCTTAGTTTGTGCCCCAATCCATGCACACGGATACATATGTAAGTGCTAATAATGCATGGCCAGCGAATCAGCTTAAGGGTGTGTCTTCCAAATCGAAATCGTTGAATAATTGTGCCTTAAGCAAACACTTTGGAGTACCCTGAATTAAAGTGTCTATAAAATTAAAAGTCACTCTAAGACTGAAGAAGTGCCAATCACAAAGAATTTATCCACAAATCTCTTGTGTAAAATATATAAATTCATTTAATATATTTCATATTTGATTAAAAAATGTTGTAAACAGATTTAGATATGTCCTATTCATATTCGACTAGCTTAAGCTGCCATATTGGTAGCAGAATACTGGTTTAATAATTTGTAAAAAAATGTTGTTATATAAAGAAAAAATAAAAAACAATTTTATTATACCATTTAGATGATTTGAAAACATTGGATTAATAAACCAAAGTTTAAAAGAGTTAGAAAGAGAAATTTCCTTTAAAACGTTGTACTATGGAGGGGTTTTAAGAAAGTTTTAAAAGTGTTGACAAGAGCTACTTAGTTAGTGTAGGTTTTGTAAGCATGCTTCGATATGAAAATATATCTCAAGAAGCCTACTTTCTCGCTAGTTAAAAAAATTTTAAAGCGCCTAACGTTTCTTTAAAAGCAAATTAAAATTTGTATCAACCGTTTTTTTTTTTTTTTGTTTTTATTTTTAATAAAAACTTAAATTTTACTGTTATTATTTAGAACAACTTAAATTAAACTAGTAGAAAAATACAAATAAAGCTTAAACTAGGAATTTAGTGTTATTTAATTATTTATTTCATTTAATTATTAATTATTTATAAGTGTATATCGCTTGTTTGAGGAATGTATTTTTATAACAGGTGATACTTCTATCGTTTATTTATTTTATTTATATTTGCTGCAAGTTCCATTAAAAACATTTAGGGTGTTGCCTGCTTCTGAGCGTCTTCAGCTAAGCACTTTCTCTAGTGCCTGTTATTATATTTACAATCAATTTGTGAGAATAGCTATTAATAACGCCATACAAGTGTTTTCTACGTCGTGCAACATACTTACATTTCAATCTGAGTTCTTTCCATATTGATGATCCCATGAATTCTCTATGTGCGACTCAAGATATTAACTCATCATTTATAAATGTCTAATGGCAGCAGCATTGGCGGCACACATCATTTAACTCGGCACCTGTCAAAATACCTTTCAATTCCAATCAGCGGCTAATAGCTTTCAAGCCGAATTGCCGAGGGCCGACATAGCCGACAGCTATGTAAAGCAGAGCCATAGCTATCCACGTTGGTATTTACTTTGCCATATATTTACAAATTGTTATAAAATATTATGCTGCCAAATAATGTGAATCAGAAATGGAATGCTAAACGAGCCTTGAAAATGGGCGAAGCAATTTAAAGCGGGCCTCTTAAAAGCGAGGCCTACAAGCGAAGAAGGAAGCAAGCATTTCAGAGTGTCGAATAAGTAAGTGTGTATGTGAGTATGCGTGTGTGTGTGTGTGTGCGTGTGCTGTTAAATATGCATGCGAGACGACAGCATAAGTTTATATGCATATGTGCGTGTGATGCCTCAGGGAATTTGAAGGCGCGTTTTCATTGACAGACAAGAGGAAACGCAGACGCATAACTATGAGGGCGAAATGCGAAATATGCGCAGGAAGCAGCAACAGCAGCAGCAGCAGCCTCAGCAGTAGAAAATGTAAAAATTGTATGCATGAATATTTAAAATGCAGCCAACTTGAGCGGCATTTTTCCCTCTTTTCATTTGCTTCAATCCCCTCCCTCCTCTTTCAGAGAAAATGGCACAAAATATTCATTTCAATTCCGTTTCACATTTCGTTCCATTGCTTTTTATGCTTGTATTAATTTTACATTTTTATTCCTATATATTACTGGTATTTCCTTGTTCTGCGTTTCGCATATATGTATGTGTTTTGTTTTTATTTTATTCGAAAATTGCAA